AAAACAACAAATTAAACAATAAGTTCTTAGAGGAAAAACTCGATAGAATGGAGAATAAGATTAAGACAATTGAAGAATCAATGAATACAAAGATTAATACAATCTCTGAAAATGTGGACACAATCTCTCGAGAAGTCAAACGAATTGATTCAGAAAGTGATGGAAAACTAAGAAAAATAATGAATATTATTAGCGATACGTATGAACTGAGCAAAGATGTGACAATGGTTTTGAAGGGCAGATCCGGTGGTTATATTGGAAATGGAGATAATGATAGCCCGGACCAAATGGAAGAGATGCAGAAGAAACTGTTGGAACAAATGAGTATAATTGAGACATCAATTTCACAGCAAGTGTCAAACGTAGCCAAATTAGGCAAAGAGACGATCACATCGTTGGACAATATAAACATTGAAATGCTTACCATTCGTGACGAATGCACGACAAGACGACAGTCAACGCAACAGACGAGAAGCGAATCCACTTTTGATAGCTATCATCCATCTCTTAATAGCCACAGAGACACTCATTCACCACAACAGTGTCCAACCGTTAATATAACAACTCTTCAGCACCAAATGGAGACACAATTGGGACAAATTGGTGTCACAATTGAAAATGAAATGACAATAATTGGCAGTAAAATAGAGGAATATATGAGTAGTTGCAATACAAATGTTCATAACAACAATAAGGGGCGAAGTATTGCACCACAAGACTTACCACCAATTATCGTGAACAGCACCCAATCGTTTGCACCAAATAATCAACGAAAGACCATAAGTCCGGCCAAAAGACCGACCAATCCTTCAGATTGTCAGCACTCGTCCACATTATTAACGCCCAAAACCTGTTCTGAACTCAACAAAAGTGGTGCCAATTGTGACGGCGTTTACGTGATCTTCATTGGGAACACTAAACTGTTAAGAGTCTATTGCGATATGAGTGACAACGGGGGCGGATGGACAGTATGTTTAGTCATTACTAACAATTGTATCGTTTATTCTACAAATTATTTGTCTTAACTTTCAGGTAATCCTCAGACGCGGAGACTTTGGCCGAAGACGTCAAATAAGCTTTGATCAGACGTGGAGTGGATATAAGGATGGGTTTGGAGACATGGAATCGGGAGAGTTCTGGTTAGGTCTCGATAATATCCATCAGATGACTGCCACTGAAGACTATATTCTTCAGGTGGATCTCGAGTCGTTTGACGGCGAATACGTGTCCCTCGTTTACGACAGATTCAAAATAGGCGGAGAAACAGACAATTATAGACTTCACGTATGAATTATCCATTTTATTTGTCAATCAGTAATAAAATTGTTTTTTTGTACAAATAGTTGGGACACGCCATACAGTCCAACACAACTATAGCGCAGGCATTGTTGGCCCACAACTCATCCATGTTCTCCACTCACGACAAGAACAACAACATAATCAGTGATGATAATTGTGGGGCCAAATTGCAAGGAGGATGGTGGTTTCACAATTGTCACAATGCATTTCTCACTGCACCCTATTTTGCGAAACACAAACGACCGCACGTATGGCAAGGCATTCAATGGCACTCTTGGAAACATTCACAGCATCTGAAAGCCGCCCAAATGAAGATCCGACCCAAACATCACAACTAATCAACTCTTTTAGTCATTTCTCTCTCGCCTTACATTTGAATTAACTAATTGTTTGGCAAATAATATATTTATTTGAAGTCAAATATTTTTCTCATTCACTGCGTTAAGTACTTAACACTTAATTGAAGTGATAGACAATATTATATGATTGAATAATTGTTTAAATTATTATCAATTACTTATATAACATAAGCATAATATAATATTATATAATATAAATATATACTCATTTATATTGCAAAATATGTACTATAATAGCAAAATATGAAACTGTAGATTATTTACAGATTCCCAGAGATTCTCAATACTCTTAATTGTAATGTTTATTAATTTATCATTACTTTAACAGAAATATTTAGTCAATTTTTTGTGCCAATATATTTTGAAAATTTAATAAAATTTACAAAAATAACACTTTAATTAATATTAAATTAAAATTTGCAAATTCAACACAAGATTTACTAGAATTGAATAAATTATGATTAGAGATGAAAGTAAATGCAATAAATTTACTATAAATTTATATTAAATAAAATATATATTTATATTTTTTTCAATCCGATACAAAAATACAACAAATATTACATTATATTTGTAATAAAACTGGTGTTAAAATATTTGTCACTTATAATTGTACTTAAAACATAACAATTTAATTAAAATATTTATTTGTTATTAAATTTGTTATAATGTAAAAATTATTAATTTTAATACTATCCGTACGATCACATGATTTGTAAATTCAATATATTATTTAATTCAAGTG